GAATACACCAACGCTACACGTAGAGTACCCGTTTTTATTTGACCATATGAGACTTACACGTCGTTAATTCTAAGGTTCATTTTTCCTGAATATTGCTGTGTATTAAACCGTAGATCCAGCGCTGCTCGATCTTGTGGAATTCTAATGACTGTGCTTGCGTCAGTTTTTGGCATCATATTTGCAACCTATTTACCCGCCTTTATACAATTGGTCTCCTCCAAATCTGGATCTGCCGTTTATCATCCAAAAAGCGCTGAAGCATTGACGAAAGTAAGTCTTCGCATTGTTCTTAAGCTAAAATTTAATTGCATTTCTACCAACTCGCATAGAAGGCCTCGCCAGGAATGAATAATTACGGCTATTTAGCAGTGTTAAATGGGGTAGATGTGAAGTTTCAATAAAACTGCGAAACTGGCAGCGTACAAAAGCCATTTTTTTCGTTCGAGAATTTCTCGACTACTAAATGGAGGTACGTATTAGTGCCATCTACTTTAATCATTAATACAGCATAGGTGGATCTGAACCTAACCAATGTCCCAAACAGGTATATACTGGTTTGCATTGGTTATTAATTAACTAGTTTTCGTAGCAAATCTATGACCATTTGCTTACCGACTGTAGCGATTTCCACGTCAAAGATACAAGATAGTCTGTTTATCAGACAATCGACGCAAATTAACCAAAATAAGAGTCATCATTTGCGCACGAATCTTGCTTACAGAGTCGGTTATCAGCCTACTTACATTGACTCTAGCTCACTAAAGCTTAGACATTTTTGCCTTGGCTACAAGTAAGCGGTAGACAGATTATTAAAGAGTGATACTTGGTAAACATGGACTAGTAAGACATACCAAACAAACGAGGTTTACAACAAAAATGTACATTCGAGTTAAGAAACAAAAATCAAAGTTACCGCCCCAACTCCTACTGGCCTGTTTGGAACAAGTAATAATACGACATGACAGGCCACTGGAGCTTATTCGACCAATAACAGAAGAGGCGGGATTTACGACCTACATAACTCATAAATACCGATGTGTGGTCAGTTAAAGAGATTATCTTAATGACATGCCAAATGACGCAAAGCCTTATTTTATAAAACGGCAGCTCAAGTATCCCAGACAGCCACAAGAAAGGACAGCGCCGGCGCCACCGACGCATTTGGGCTACCCAGTAGCGCCAATGCTACCGAACGCGTTTTCACCCAACCAGGTTCCGCCATCTCACTTGGACGCCTTCTACAACCCAGGGTCGACAAAGCACCCCCTGCCCTCAGCACCCCCGCCCTATTCGGAGGTTGAGAAACAGCCCATGTGACATTGCCCAAACGCCTTCCTACCTGCTGAATTTCGCTCACTTGCAGTGTGTATGGGGACGATATCGACGTTTTTTACTTTTATGAATAGTACTAAAATACAAACTGTTACTGATGTAAATTAAGTACAAAAGTATCATGAGTGCTGAGTGAAACCGAGCCTCTTCTCACGCAAGCTAGTTTATCCATTTGCTTGGGATCAGCACCCACCACCAGTCGTGCTCGCCATGCAAACACACCTCTGAGTTGGGCTTCCAAACACGCAGCTCTCTTCCACGTTAAAGTTCCTTTCGATCAATTTGTTTTAATCAAAACGGTGGTCCTGATGTGGGCCTGGCATTTAGTCTTTCGCAATCATAGGCCAATGCACGCATCTGATTAACACTTTGAATATAAATTAGTTCTCTAATAATCCACCAGCTTCCACTAACTTAAGAACCCAATGCTCTCATATCATCTTCCCATGTTGAAGACAGGCTTCTACAAAAGGAGCATTGATACTCCTCCCTCATCGGAATACCCTGATTCCCCCATAACACATTCCTCAGATTTTCAGAAAAAAGGCGTCAAAATTATCCTAACCCTTGGATTGAGGTTCTATTGGCTCATTCAATAAAATTATTTTTCTCCTAGATCATGTTATCAGAGCCCTTCACCACTGAAAAAGCTTAATTGCTGTCTTATCTACAATCTACCTTGGCAGAGTAGCAACCAACCATTGAGAACTGTCCATTTGCTTAAATACGTGTCAGTGGTTTTGCTTTCCTTTCGTATTTCGACTAAAAGAAGGGGTATCTATGTGCACGGAATATTTGTTGTAGCTTGAGTTTCAGCATCACCTTACAACCCTCGAGTCAACAGCCCGTAACAACCCGAGAATGGAGTGAAGAGAGGCGACAGAGGACACGACCGTTTGTTAGCGCCAAGCCAGCCAAGTGTGTATCTTGGTGTGTGGGTGAGTGAACGAATGACAGGCGTCTGATAAGAGTAACCAATGAGACACTGTCACCGTCAGGTCCGTAAACAGGGATCATCTAGGCGTGATCGCTGTTAATGAGCTACATATTTACCTAACCACTACCATTCCAATCAATGGCAGCCTCTATAAATCAATGGTCGCGCGTCAATGCCCTTCTTGTATTGAAGATTTGTTTCAGTATTAAGTGTTTATTAGTTTACGGGTTAAACTTGGAATGTCAAAGTGTGTGACGAAATTTTGTGGTGAAGGTTATTTATTATCGTCAATGTTCACCAGGAAATCATTAGGCGAACACCTCGTTGGTTGCAAATTTGTTGTAGACATTTCTGTCCCTGTGTAGTTGAATTTAATCTCCAAGTCGCCAAAAAATTAACGCAATTCGGTCGAGTACTTAAAAGTACCATTTCGACGACTCGTTTTAGTAATACCAGAGTCTATTCTCAAAATAAAAGAGGACGAACTCATTCAAGAAATAAGCTTACTTCTAGTAAATCGATACCGAGAAATCTATGTAGTTAAAAGACATGCAAGAAGTGAACCAGACATATGGCAATCGAATTGAAAGGAGAAACTGTCCAGGTTAACAGTTTGTTTAAAAAAGACTTAATTACTGACAAGAGAAAGCCAGAAGATGGGGTAGTTTCTTGAAAAATTCCCTCACTGAAGGTCGTCGTAGGGAGGAGGCGCATAGCTCGGTGGCCTTGCGGCATCAGGTGGTAGGGGAGGCATCACGTTCGGCGGCACGACCGCCATTTCCTCTAGTTGGGGCGCGCTGGGTGCCGGTCGAGGCTCGATTATGCGCTCTGCGGAATCTGAAATGACAGTACTCCGTTCTTCCGCTCTTCCACGGTCTAACGGACCCGGTAATGCCGCTTCCGTGTCAGTACGCCAAACACGTCGCTGACGCAGCCGCACATCCGTCTGACGCGGGTAGGGTTTCTGCAAGGGAAAAAAAGTGAACTTTGACGAAGCCGTGTTTACAATAGTTGCTGATACTGACTATTTGACTTGGAAATTAAAAGTCACTGCTTACAGTGTGTTCCGAATAACACTTTGACGATACAAACACACCTTAGACCGAAATGTTGCACGGTGATTTTACTTCGTTTATAACTTTACATAGCATTGTTTCGGTATTTGTAATTTCACTGAAAAAGATGTATTATATTGTAGACAAGCCGTTTCGTCAAAATTGTCAGTCCTGTCATCCTCCAGTAACATTCTCGAAAGGGAATAGGTCCCACTACACCAGTTTAATCTTTTAAGTAATACTCCAGGGTAATGATGGAAGATCATTTGCCTGGGGGATGGTTACAACCACAACTTGCGTAAACGCATCACATTGTCAAATTCCACAACTGAGAGACAACAATTAAATCTCCGGAAAAAGTACACGCGAATGTTACAGGGTGCATAAAAGACCTTTTTCGCAAAACGTAATAACCTAGAGGGACTGTAGTGGTTGTGAATGTCATTCAAGCAACGGCGTCGCTATTGTTTAGGCTGTGATTTGGCGACGAAATTTTGCCGTACCTTTTAGGCACGAAGAATGTAGGCAGCAAATAATTGATTTGAGCACGGGTGACCTTGACGGTGCATGTAAGCGAACCTCAATTTCTCAAAATCTCACCAAACAGTCAAACCTAGCATACCTTAGCGTTTTTATTGTGAAGCCTAACGTGCTAAATCTGACAAACTACAGCCGAATTTTGATGATTTCCTTGATTGCCCAACTACTGATTGTTACCAGACCACTTGGTTACTAAGGCCATTAAGTTATTTTTACGATCACCTCTAGCGTAGAATGATGGCACCATTATTTTCACCTTGCGTGTCGATGTTTGAGCAAAAAAAGTGCAAAATTTATTGAATTTTGACTTGGTAAGTGTAAAATTTGTGACTTAATTTTAGGAATTTGGTATGTGTATGGCCTTTAACTTACCAAACTCAATGTCAGTAACTAGAGACAAAGCGGGAAAATTACACGATTACCAAGGTTAACATCGTTAAATGCGTCATTTTTCATTTCTGTTAGCAACAAAGCAAGGTGGGATAATAGCGTTTCCGGACATGTGCGCCACCGTTGCTTGGATAGGCCAACTTCGAGGGGCATCGCGACTCACCAGTTGAAGTGCATCAGCTGATTTCGGTCGGTAGATCTTAGTTTCAGAAAAAGACGACACCAGACGAAGGAACAGACTTGCCGAGAAGACTAACGAGGCTAGAAGCCCGAGGCCCAACACGATCATAACGCAACCGAGTATTTCGAGACCACTAGAGTAGGGGACGGCAAAACACGTTAATGAAACAGTTTAAGAGATGCAGACTACGATGTCTTTGTGATTTAGATTGGCCCCAAAGTAGCATGATAATTTGTAGCAGAGATTGGTGCGTTAAACATACGCATTGGATCGGCCAACATCAGCAACGAGGTAGATTCCGATAGCCAGGATAAACACGGTCAGGATGGTCAGAATGATGGAGAGTATTTTCACCTTTTTTCGAAATTTGTCGCTTTTCATGACATCCTCCGAAGTTGGTGCTGTTGGCAATCGCGTTACCAGGAATGGCATTTTACTGTAGAATAAGTAAGTAATGAACTGTGTTAGTGACTTATCACAAATGAAACTCTTCACTTCATCCGAATCCATTAGCGCTTGTAGTAGCCCTGGATTACCGAAGTCAGGCATTATTAAAAATGTCCATCGTTTCAACGGACGATAGATTCGATTTCGTATAACATGAATAACTTAAGGTTTGGCAAACGATTATCATTAAAGCGCCGTTTTAACTTTCAGGTTTCAATGGCTAAGCGCTAAAAGCACTGCAACAATTGTTACATGTGAACACGTAGTCCGAGATGACAATGTGGGAAAAATAGACAGGACATATACTATATCAAATACAAAATTCATCAGGAGTCTGGTAAATTTAGTCTGACGATCATACTGCATTCAGCGAGCAGAAAGACTTCACTGACAGTCAAAATGAGGGGATAACGAGGCGACGATTTTGCTTAATTTGTGCTCAGACCCACTGGGCATTAGATTTCTCTAAGACTAAGAAGTTGACTGCGAGCGGAATTAGGGATGTCACCTGAAAATAAAACATTTTCAAGGTTTATTTTACTCCTAGCATAATGGGAAGCATGATGGCTGGCTGGATTATAGACCTATGATGCAGATACTTATGGAAGTCTTTTAAATTGTGTTTTCATACTGATTTTGGTGTTTGATAATATGCCCACGGTGACGTAAATTGAAGTGCTGATTCAGTCTAATTCTAGCTGAGTAAGGCCGTCTAACATAACAAGGCGAAACCATCGCTAATTTCAAATGTCTCTGCACATAATTCAGAAAGGATGTTGCTGAAATATTCCACTTACCACAAGAATAGATTCGTTTAATGCATTTGAAAATTCTCGGAAATCAGTTTAATGCAAAACACGCTTTCTTTGGAAAAAATCAGCTGTTAATGTGAGGTTTGGAAATGAAAAACTCGAATGCGTAGCTCACGAGACACGCGCTAGGTTAGTCTAAACAGAACACCTCAGCACAGTGCATGACTGATACTCGAGAGGGAATGCCAAATGTTAAAAATAAATCCAGATAAATGGATTAATGTCGACCTGTGAAGCTAAGCAATGGACTCCAACCTCCTGTCTAGATATTTACAAAATATGCCCAATTCTAACAACGTAACCCTCTACACGTGATCAGCTCAACCTGTCCGAGCACCTGATTTAATTAGCAGGCATTTCGCATCAGGGTCCCGAGTTCCCCTCTCAGCGCGCACTATTTACACAACTCGATCCTAAAGCCCCGCATCTCAGTCACCTCTTCCCTCCTCTCCCCCCTCTCCCCCAAGACACCTGTAATAAACTCCAACTGTTCGAACACAGACGAATTAGTAACAACACAACCCAACACTCCAATGTTGTTAGGGTGCGTGAATGGATGATACGCAGGTTAGGTGGAGTGAGTGTGTCGCACAAAAGTCAGTACACAAGTGTAGAATGTGGCCTTTTTATTATTACAAGAGAAAATAGGCAAAAGTAAATATCTGTACAAGTAGAGGTGCTGTCCCACGCAAGGTCTGGCCAGTGGCAGCCTGTGGAGGTTAGTCCAATGGCATTAATGGGATTATCGATAGGAGGAACCAAACAATTGTCTCGGAGTGAAGAATAAGACCTGTAACAGCAGAGTATGGGATGATGCATAATGAGTGCTCTGTGTACCACCACAGTAAAGTAAAAATTAAAGGCTTCATAAAACCTTAGTGGTGACATGAGAATGAGGCTTAAATCAACATAGCACCTGACAGCTTGCATTAAATGGCGAGAATAGAGAAGAACAAATGCATGTATATAAAAAACAGCAGGGATTAATTAAGTAGGATCCACAGCCTGAATCAGGAAATAGATGTGGCATTCCTTTCATTGGCTGGGTTACTGGTTGCGGTTTGGGAAACCAGAGCAACCCCTTAATGATAACCTAAGGATTTCGGAAGCTTGGGCGTCAAATAATCGACAACACAGGACCCAGTCAAAACACCAGCATGGCTAAAACAAAATCGATCTAGGGATTCGGTGTTGGATGTAAGTAGCCTACTGACAACAAAATAAAAAAAAAGTTACGCCACATGGAAATGGGCAAATTTTATAAACAGGAATAACTCACTTGGTTAACAGGTAGAACACGACAAGGTACATTAACGTGAGATGCTTTGAATACGCCTTGAGAAGCCAAACCTTGACTATTTGTGCACACAAAGGGAGATATCCGTTGACCTTAATTGACATGAAGATCAAGCGATCCCAAACGTATTTTGCGGAATAGGTAAGGAATGCGTCATGGAAACTAAGAAGTGGGAAACTCTGGGAAATTTGACTGATGTGAGACGACGAGAAATTAGGATTACAATAGCAGTCGGGGTAAAGTGGGGAGAGCAGCCTGAGGACCAGAACCTCAGAGAAGATAACTACTTAAATATGGAAGATATGAGGAGGCGAACAACCTTGAGGCCGACGTAAATGGTAATAAGGCCACCTAAGACCGCATGATGCTGCTCTAAGGCGCGAAGGCGAGAGGAGAGGCGGCTAACATGGGCTTCCAGATGGCTTAATCTGGTCTCAATTGTCCGCATTCGTCCATCCAGATTGCTTGACGAGCGACTTCCCTGAACATGTACCTTAGCTGAGGCGGAAGCGCTCGCTTCAACCGTTGTAGCAGTCACACTTGAGCGTCTGTAATGATGGAAAAACAGTCATCGGACCGATATCACAATATTGTGTTAAGTTATAGAAACGGTAAAAAGCCCTGCATCAGGGACATTAGTGAACTGACTACAACCACACAGCCTCGAGGACTCATTGATCTACATAAACAACATACAAAACTCAATCTATTGGCGATGGCTCACTTGCTCCTACATTTGTCCCGCAAATTTCCCCTAAAAACAACCACTCTCCTCGCTTTACTCAACAACAAACCCGTCTGTTAACTCCAAAAAGGAATGACCTAGTGTTGATAGACAAAGTACAGAGTAGTGCTGATCAACATAATGTTCAGCAGGAAGTGCCTTAGCATAGGTAAACGCACTTAGCATCTACCAAAAATTTAAATTTGTTAGGATACCAGAAATCAAGACAAACTACTTGGTAGTGTAAACTAATGACGGTACCGAACACGACGGCAGACCTAATGCATCAGAGAACTTAACAAATCTGATTTCTACTATGAATGTCAGAAACACTGCCGAAGTAAGCCATGAAAGCCGGCTTACTATTACTTTTAAAAGCCAGGCGGTTTGCCATTGGGCATAAAATAATCGGAAGCTCTCATTGTAGTAGTGATAACTTTAGGCTACCAAATATAGACATGGACGTACACGACCAGCGTCGACAATTGATTTAATGCAATCAATTTAAGTGGTCAGAGGCGTGAGGAGGTCTGTAATTTCAAAAAGAAAAAAAACGACCAAGTATCCCTTATGCTCAAGTTAAAGACCAGTCCTCACCGCCGGCGCCGAAAATCGTCATTGGTCAGCAAATCAGGGCTATACCCAGGTGTGCTTTCAGGGTGTTCTGGAACTGCTACACCTAAATAAACAAATGGGCATCAGGTGGAAAATAAATCTAACTGCTATCAGGGTACTGAATATCTTTTTGCTGAATGGTCTTAGAGACAAGATCAGGAAAAGAAGATGCGACAGAGAGCTTATCAGGCACACGCATACTCTGGTTTATGTCATTTTTGTATTCCCACTCATACTTAGAAATAAGCGGAACCTGGAGCGGATCCATTGTCGAAATTCCTTCCTCTACACGAATAGTCGGCTCATTAGTTATAAGTAGCGGGAAGCCTTTGGGACGGCTTAAAACAAATAGAGAACCATTCGCAACTTTTTTTAATATTATTTACAACAGACAGGGGTTGTTTTATAAGCATGTAATGTTTTGTTCTAGTGTTCATATAAAGAAGCATTTGTTATTGATATTGATGTGATTTTTTTCGATTTTTTTCGATTTTTTTCGTTTTTCTGGTTTTTCAATTTATTTGACTGCATTATAATTGTAATAAAGTAACATTTGCTTTGCTCTATTCACGAGCGGAACTATGTTAATTAACTAAACAAAGCAGGTTTAGGAATTTACAAATTAACGATATCGATTGGAATTTTTTTTATGACAAAATAATCAACCACCAATTTTTGGGCGCCTACGTTAGCCTTCGTCGATTGGACCGTTTTATATCCTTTTTAACTGAACTCAATTTTTTTCTAAATATCACCGTCATCTAAATTTTCGGACAATTAAAGCATTTTTGTTGCGTACACCACTCAACACGCAATGCAATGCGGCATAATTCTGGCAGCGTTTATTCACATTTTTTCTTTGCAGACCTGTTTAATTGCCAGAGCGTGAATTTCGCTAAACTTTCGTGAATCTTAACATTATTTCACTGACCATATTCCCTCATGTTTTTTAATGTTCTTATCCCTAATACAACTTTTTTTGAAAGCGTACCGTCCCTAGGAATGTCTTCTTCCGTTCCTCGGGTTGAGTCTGACTCTCATGTTTAATTTTCGGTGGGTTTAAAACAAACTCACTTCATGTATTAAATGAATAATTCAATCATGTCTGTAAGAATATAGCCTCATTTGAAAACCCCTTGAGGGTAATGGTCATAAGTATTCGAAATGCTTGTATAAAATATTATTAAACCCAAAATACAGATCACAGTTTCCCAAAACCTAACTGATATCAGTCTTTTAAGGGGGAAATGATACTGTTTATGAATCTTTATGCTAAGTAGAAAGATGTGATTGTAATATTTTTTTTCCTGACTGATTGAAGCAAGTTAACCTCATAATTGGGTTTACCTCATATCTTATCTAATAACGGCAAAGACAGAAATGTTAGACAAATATGTATAATTTAATTATACTCAGTTATATCCTATTTAGGGACGGATATCAAAGCAATGAAATGATGGATATTATTCAATTAAAGTGACATTTCATATTTGCGTTTTTGATTGCTTTTCAAATAAAGTATACCTGCTCATTGTTGCATTAGGATAATTTTTGTTGTTGTGCGTGCTTCATTAATGCTTTTTTTTAAACAATAAGTATAGTGCTTTACCTGGAGCCAATGTGTTAATTATTGAATTTTTCTTTTTTTCTAAATTCAAACCCTATGTCAACTCCTAGAGCATACAAGCTCATGATTCTCTCCAACCCATTGAAATTTTAATAACTCCTAAAATATATTGCGTCCTACACACAAAACAGAAAAAAATCACGTCAAACGGACGAGTACTCATTAGTGTTTACATATTGCATTGTCCCTTCACAGTTATATGAAGCCTATAAATGACATGACGAATAAGTACACGTGATATAACTGCTAATATTTTTATTATTATACTGACAACAGAGACACACTACGGAGTACTCTTTTCCGCAGAGCCCACTGAAATAACTATACTTTATAATGATGCACTTACTATGTATTTCATATGTTTCTGATTAAAGCTCAATCAATATTCTAAAATTAGTGACCTTGGAAGTTTAAAAAGCCATGAGAATTAATTAAAACATGACTCCTTTAACGTGTCTACATTTTGTCATTACATTCTGAATAATCCAGCTAAATAGTACTAGCCTTTGTAGTTCTATAGAAAATACTTGAATAAGAAACGTAGAATTTAATTGACATTTGTTTAGTCTCAAAGCAAATTGATATTTTAAAAATTCTAATTTGGTGTTTTCGAAGCCATCACAAATATCAAGCCACTGATAACTGACCAACCAGAACTACGAATGAATCGTTTTGCCTCAGTACAATTCCAGTACATAATTTGGGTCAGTCAGACGACAATGACACCACTGGTATCTCCAGAGATTTATCGAAATACTTTGCATTGGCAGTGGATTCGGCCATAGCCTAAATATAAGGAGACAGAATTACTCTATGATGGCCACATACTTAACTCTGGTAAATCATATGATATCTGTTCTCCTTACGTAAAATTGTCAAACTTTAATAGAACCTAAGTAATTGGATTTCTTCTATAAGGCTTGTATAAAAAAATTTCCGCATATCTGACCACCTACATATATTTTATACTTTGTGAATAGCAAATTTAGTAGGCGATTCAATAAAGTGTTTCTGACCGGACTGCATCTCTGGTAAGCACCATGAAAAAATGAATCAAATTGCCTAAAAACTACTGTAATACCAGTTGTGTTCAGCTAGTAGGATTTTAAAGTTTTCTGATTACGTGGAATCACGGCTGTGCCGATCTGATACCGAAATGATTGCTGAAGTGAATTGGAGTTAGCTTGCTTTACAAAGGTAATCTAAAAGGGATTAAATCTATTTAAAGTCCCTGAGCCAATTCGGATTGCGCTGCTAAAATATCGAAAAGTAACCGGACATCACTTTGTAGCTCAGATGTTTTTTTGAAAATAAAATAAGGATTAATACACTGCTCAAATATTTTCACTGGAATTAGAAATTAAATGCAGCATTTGTTTTTGAATGTCGTGACTTGTGGCAACTTTAATTTTTAAACTAAAGATTTATGCTCTTAGATAATTGTAACTAAGCTTTTATTCTGTGTTCGATTTGTTAGAAATTATCTTAAAATAAAAAATTAAATAGTTATTAAAGTCCTACTGCTTAACTGTCAAATAAAAGCCGCATAAAAATTGCAGTGAGTGTAAAAATTAAATTCACACTCATATTGATTATTTAAATGTAATTTGACCCATCAAAAAGTCCCACCGACAATACTCGCTGGCTCTCTGGGGAAGATGTGGCAAATAACTGAATAACTGTCGCCATGTTCAAAAGATTTTACGTGAGAAAAAAGAACAGCAAAATTGTTCTGAGTCAGATTTCTACTCGTTTATCGGTGAATGATGCGTTTGTGGCTCATTGCGATGGAAAACAAGTGCAGTAATTTAACCGAGTTAGATTGAGGAACTTCACCACAGCCAGCTAAAGCATAAGTAAGTTAAAAGTTGTAGCAAGGGCGAATACCTAAGATGCATGAAGTATTGAATTTACAACGATTGAACCTAAAAGTGAAATTGTCTGCACGTTGCCGAGACTTTTTTCACATTAATGGTGGGCTTAATTATGGGAAAAAATTATTGTAAATCGCTCCATGATTTAACCACAAAAAATGTTCGATGTAAAAGTGTCCGGATACATCAACTTCTCTCTCGAATAACGTGAATTAAAATTCAATCTTACTAAACCACAATTCGCCAGCTTGAGAACTACTTTATAGCATTCAAATTTAATTCAGTCGAAATGCACAAGGGCTCTAAGCGTTTACTGATCTTGCACCAGCTTCCGTTTTGCGACAGCACCACCGTGAATGCTCATCAATTATTTTTTTCTAATGCACACATCTGTCTTACCAGTTGTGAAATAAAAAAAAACTTGTTTCCTGGTATAGCATGCTAGGGTGTGTCACTATCACTCCGTTTTTACGAGACCTATAAATGTGACATTAAAAGACTGACTCAGTTAGCATATAGACTGGCTTAATCTGGTGCAATCGGTTGCAAATTTTCAACTCATGGACTGTGACGGAGATAGTATTTTAATTAAAATTGTTTAAATACGTGCACTTAACATCACGTTGCAACATGTAGCAAAGTTTCTTATTTTCGAGTAGAGGAATATTTAAGTAGTTTGCGGCTCACAAGAAGTTAGGTGAAAAAAACCGGAACCAACGTGTAATTTGTAATGCAGGCTTGAATTAAACTTGAGTAAACCCAAGGATTGCTTTATTGCAATGCATTAAACGTCTTTCATCTGTTAGTATTTCAGAAAGCAATTTTCACCTTATCTTGCAGAAGCCTATAGTGTTAGGTAAATACTTTATTCAAAAATGCTCAATAAATCTAGAAATTGCGCTTTAAATGAGCCTATTTGCTAAAGGGAGTTTTGAGATTACATATGAGTATTTACGGCCGTCGCTACATTAGAATAGTTGCGTATAAAATGCCATTAAGCACTGATTTACAGCCGCATTTTCTTCAATTCAGAGTAATAGACAAATATTGATTAGATCCTAATTTGTTTTCATACTAACGGAAATTTAATACGTGTTTATCCTATTAGCTAAGACACAACTGACGTCCTCCACAGTACGTAATCAAGGAAATTGATGTTAATGACTTCAGTGAATTGTATCACGTGAGAAGTGACAACATTTTCCACGTGTGAATTTCCTTTAGCAGCCATTACCTTGACCTGACCACTCTATTTGACCTCCACAATTTAGTTGTGTCATGGGGCATAAATTTAAATAAACTTGGCACCACCTTTGGGTATATTTTTTTACATCGGTGCTTGGTTGGTGAAAAAAGTATAATCTATGATAGTTACAAAAACGCATCATCACTTGAGTGTTCCACAAAACGCGGGCAAGGATAAAACATACATATTGACGCAAATCATTAGAAGTTCATCCTTCGGATATTTCATCCACTGAGTTGAATGTATTTTGGCGGGCTACCATTAGGCCCCGATTTCTTCTGTCCATCCAGGAGGCGTCGCTGTTCTCTGTCATTGTGGAAGTTACAGAGTCCACGGCATCGTCGTGATGGCCTCCCACCTCGAAAGCCATGTCTTGGGGCAGGCAACTCTGGCTCATAGCCACAGACACTCTAGAAAATGGTCTGGTGATCCGTGGTTGTTTCGTAACATCCTCCTGTGGTGTATTGGTGGGTTCCGATTTGACAGGAGCTGGCTTCATTGCCTGCGGGCGAGTTGAATCTTGAGGAGGATTGTTTCGGGTGTTGGAGTCTCTTGCGCCCGAGACGCCAAACCAAAATCGGCAGCACGTGCACATATTAGGCGTGAAGTATTGTGAGCACTAAGCTCAAGTGTGCCTGTATATGTGTGTGGGTGCAGGTTGCGCCAATGATGTAATAATCAGCCAATCACCTGTGTGCGTGTCATTGTTTAACTTGAACTTTGAGTTTGCAGTAAATGGAGTTCCAAAGGTAATGAAAACACCGTCTTCCCAAACATGTTCATCACTGAAGAAATTAATGGTAAATAAACTTCTACCTTTTCAAGGATCTTACAAGAAAAATAAGTTTAACATTTGTTTAAACGGTGTATCAAAGTGTACAAACGTGCTAAACTTTTTGACTTGAACGTAAGACTCCGCCGTTTTCAGTGAATTTGTAGATAGGTTTATAATAATCAGACAACCAAGGTGTATCGATCACATTGCAACGAGGACTTGATCAGAGAAAATGAAATCACCATTCAATCTGGAAAGTCATAATTCTGGTGAATTCAAAAAAAACTAAATAAGCCCTAGTCATTTGCACAGGGCTGCGAATCGAATATCACCATAAATTTAATGTTGATGCGCGCTGATGAATGGGTAATGATAGACAGATGGTAGAATCGACGCTTCAATATAGTGCTTGTTTGGGATGACCATTGAAAAGATTAGGACTAATTTATTGGGACACACGAGGCTATTAGAACTTTCGAACAATGCATGCACGGTGGATCTACATGCAGACCTCTACAGGTAGTTAACAATAATCTCATTATATTTAAGTTCTTTGGATTGCAATTTCGCTTACGTATCCCATGACAGCTTATGCCTTTATTCCAAGTGGCAATAATGTGGTTTATCGAGCCTGGACTTAAAATGGTTAGAATGAGTTAAAGCCAAATAAATAGCCATTGAAAAGTTGCCAGTTATAAATGCGTGATTGTGGTTCATACTACGCTAGCTGAGATTCCAGGATGAGGCCTGATTCAACGTACACTCTTCATCATTGAAAGTTCAATACCAGAAACTTCAATTTTGTAAACGTGGATTCCTCACGATCTGATGTGGAGTTTGTTGTTGCTTACGTTTTAATGGTGATCAGGTAGATAGGTCACGCCCACGTCTCCCTGTCAATTGATATAATCTAAAGCTCAGTTGGGAGACAAAAACCTACCTAAGGACCAAGAAAATACAGTAACTTTTCGACAAATTGAAAACATTAAGCTAACTTTTTGTGTTTTATTAGATAAAATCACCTTTTGATTATAATCAGGCTTCACACGTGGCTGTATATAAATCCTGTGGATTTCTGTCAGACAAAGCGGACAGATCCTATCGCCGCAGAATAAACGGTCGCGTTGCCCTCTTCATGTCATTTTCTTACAGACTTGTTCGCACCTACGGACAACACGTTTATAGACTTGTCCAAATAATAGCTGAGAATTTAAAGCAATTACCAGTGTAATACCTGGTGATAGTCTTCAGTGAACAGAGGCCTTTGTTTTGTTCTCTAAGTAGAAAAAAGCATGAAATAACCAATGTTTTAAGTTGATTTATTCCTGCATTTACATGATTGATAAGAGCCAAGAATTAAGAATTTCAGACTTTGAGAATTAATTGATGGTTAAAAAATGATATCTTTTGGGTAAACGGAACAGAAAACACTTTTTGTCGAAAATCAATAATTGATAATTGTAATTTGCAGCGCAAGAACCAATGAGAGTTAGTATAGGCAGTTTAAAATAGAAGGGAATTCAATTTAATCGCAAAAGAAAGATTACAGAACCACATTCATCCACGCGACTTGCCGCAGCAATGACTACGTCAAACGACAGACTTAATATTCAGTAGTTAATTTACTTCTGACACCTCCGCCACGTATAAGCCTGTTTATGGTTTAGTCTGCACCCTCTACTTTACCTACCCACATTTAAGTGATAAATCCATCAAGAACTCTACATTATGTCACCCTATCTCTGCCACCTACAATCGTCAACAGACATTGCCAATATTGTACATGTCTGCGATTCATTTGCTGTTGCAGTCTTGTACACTCTTACTACGTGCTGAGGGGTCTGGAGAACACCTGGGTATCTAGCTTCGGGTTTTCTTTTTGTGGGTTTTTTGTGTCTATCATGGTGCAACTAATTAGTGGTAACATCATGCACTGGCATCTATCGGCACGTTCTCGCTTTGATCAGTCACTTGGCAGATCTTGTACAAGAAGCTTTCAACCTAGGTTCACAGCCAAACAAAACGTTGTAAGTATATCCGTTCGATTAGACGGAGGCCGGATTCCCCGGGGGGTTTATTAGCATGGCCAAGTACTCGGGATTGCTGGCACCAATGTCAACGCCTGTCTACTTATGATGACGCACACTCGACAGTAGGGGCGACTACTATGAACAATCCCTGCTCAATTCAGATGTCGGCATACTGGTTGTTCCGCTAACGCTTATAAGAAAGCAACCACTCAACCCTGCGTTTTTTCACTGGCAAATCGCTCAACAATCTCTTCACATGGGAAGACCTTACATTACAACGTGCTTTGTTTTTTCCTGAAACCAGAGGTGAATCACTCAAGCATAGGTGCCAATTTTCCAATCAATTTTTGTCTTCTTGCCAATCTTAGGGCTTCTTACACGGTCGACTTTCTAATCAATTACTCAGCCAGTCACACAAATTGCAGTTCTGCAAGCTTCAAATGGGACCTACGCAACCATTCCATGAAATCATGCAAACCTGATCAACCCATCCCACCGATAGACCGAAGTTAAACACAAGGTCGAGCTTAGAGTCCTGACCACTCACCGGGTACATCCCCTTATGCAACCAGTACGAATTACGCTAATAGTTGAGCTTTGAGGTAGTCGGCCAATCAAACTCACTCCATGTGGTTCTCAAAAATGGATATCGAGTGATGTCTGCGTAGCAATTACCTTGCAGTTGCTATAACTGTTCGATTTCCACTGTCAAACCCCATCGACACCACGTTCAAAGTGGGAGGCAAAACTGAGTTCTGGGTTATATTCGGAAAGACCTTGTTAGTGGATACCGGTAGAGCCATCCAACATGGTACAAATACATGTCGCACAACTTTTCGACTTGTTCGAATGCCTTTTGGTTCAGTACACAGGAGAACCCAAGAAATATCAAAAAACTTTTTTCGGTGCCTACTTTGGCACTGTCTGACTAGCAACCAGTCTGAATCAATTTCAGCTATTCGGAATTAAAGTCCCTATTTCAGAGTTTTACTTTATTGAGGTCAAAGCGAAAAATTCGTAAATCTCTATAACCTGAAGCGTTAGATCATCATTAAATGTGTCCACCTGGCTAAAATTTGGGCAATCAGGCAACTCTGTAACCTTTGACATGACAAATTCCGCATAACCCCTAATTCTATTATAATGGTTTCGTTGGAACACCAGTCAAAGTCCGGAATAATAGCAAGCGAATGATTTTGCCATACACGTTCACTGTTTAACTTTCACTCTTTACTCTACATATTGTTTACTGTTTATAACGAGCACTATTAATATCAACCGTAACAGGCTGTTTTTGTTGTTCTTCGATTCCAGCGCGTACACGGACTATTGCTTACGCTAGTGTTATTTCGAAAAAAATTATCCACATATGGGTATTTTTCTGCTGAATAGTTTGCCAATGAATTCGGTTCTAGGAAGACACCGTTGGACAAAGGAGATTACCAAGTTACGTCTGTCTGTAGTTGAAAAACGCCTCGTACTCGAAATGTTGCGAAAAGAGAGGCTTACAAATGAACCGTCTTGCGGCCGAACGTCAGCTAATGTTGTGCAAAATCTGGTGAAATAGCCAAGGGTAGAGATTACAAAACTCAATGGTAATCCAAAGTCATTTCACGTCTGTTTCAGAGTGTTTCATTGTACGTTTGGGAGTAGAACAAACGACAAAGCAGTCTGTTTAATGTAACATCTGCAGAACTGCGAAGGAAAGACACTTTAACCTATAGAGCATTGCACCATTAATAATGTAAAAACAGGTTTAAATGTTGCAAAGGTAAGCCTTAAAAAGAACTCCGGTCAAAATGTCACTGCTGCCTAAGCCTTTTTTATGGATTGCTTGACGATCCTCCACTAAAAGATTTAGAAATGGCAATAGGCTTGTCTGAATCCTCAGATGTTTCTTTCTTAGTCAACTCTTCACATTGCTAGACCCCAAATCGACTAGAGGGGTATGATGAGATTCTTCGCAATTGCGAGGCGATCCGCAGCCCTGAGCGACATGCTTGGCCTTCAGACAACGATGACAAAGCTGCAGCTCTTGAAGCACTGGCAACACTATTTTTTAGTTTTTTTAAAAAAAGGAAAGTTTGGCATCTGTCTCTGAGGTGACCTGTCTCTAAGAGGGGACAGTGGGGCAAAATAGGATGATTTCGTTGGTGCAATTTTTTGGGTTAGTTACATGTTCGTCTCCTTGGCGTCTTGCTTGCTCGTACATTGACTTGACAGCTATCCCCTCACACCTGGACGTGGCGATGTCAGCCCGTTCTTCCACGAATCCTAGTAAATCCTCACAGCGAAGTTTGTCTCCTTGCCTCTGTACCCTTTTAGCTATCGTGGCTCATTTGGACTGCAGTAGAATTGGAAGTCTCTTCACGATCACCTCGAGATTTCTGTAAGAATTCAGTTCAAAGGTATAGGCTAGGCCTAATAGGCAAGCATCTGTTGGCTCAACTTGACTAAGCTTTGGAAGTCGCCAGCTCTTGGTGAAGGATCGTCAAACAATCTATTGAAAAGCCCGCGGCAATCTTTGAATTACGTCCTAATCTTTTTCGATGTTTTTTCTTTTGCGGACACATTACAATGATTGATTGCCACTGGGACCTTTTCTTTACACATCTGTTGCAGACAGATTAATCAACTTTGCAATGTCTTTAGTTCTATAATCTGCTATTGACTGCAATTGCATCATACGCTTTTATGCTTCATATTATAAGGTAGTGAAAGTGCCACCGAGGGGATAAAAAGTTCATTTCAGCGTCATAAGCACAAGTTGGCAAATCAGAAGTGAAATAA